TTTTGCCATGCAGATGCTTTTTAATTTGATATAATCCCATTTGTTGATTCTTGTTATTTCTTATGCAATTGGATTCTGTTCAGAAAGTCTTTGCCTATGCCTATGTCTTTGAGCATTTTACCTGTTTAGTCCAATAGATCAAGTATTTCTGTTTTAATATTTAGATCTTTCATCCATTTTTATTTTAGTACATGGTGAGATATATGGGTCTAGTTTCAGTCTTCTGCACATGTATAGCCAGTTTTCCAGCATCATTTGTTACAGGCTATCTTTGTCCAGTGTATGTTTTTGGCTCCTTTGTCAAACATCAGATGACTGAATGTGCTCAGGGTTGTTTCTGCATCCTCTATTATGTCCACTGATCCACATCTGTCTTTTATGCTAATAATCATGGTGTTTTTAATCACTGTAACTTTGTAATATAATTTAAAATTTGGAATTGTGATACCTCCTTCTTTGCCCTTGTTCCCCAGGATTGCTTTTGCTATTCTGGGTCTCTTCTGATTCCATATGAATTTTATGATTGTTTTTACTAGTTCCATATGGAATAGTGTTGGTGTTTTTGATTGGGCTTGCATTAAAGCTATATATCAGTTTTGGTAGTATGGCCATTTTGACAATATTGAGTTTGTCTATAAAATAACAGGGATATTTTTCCATTTCCTGGTTCCTCTTTAATCCCTTTTTTCAGAGTTCTATAGTTTTCATTAGAGAGATGCTTCACTTTTTGTCAGGTTAATTTTTATTTATTTAAGTTTTTTGTAAACTATTGTGAATGGTATTAATTTCCTAATTTCTTTCTCAGTGGATTCCTTATTGGTGTACAGGAATACTATTGATTTTTGTGTGTAAATTTTGTATCCTGCTACCTTGCCAGATTTGGTTATTAGTTTTAGCATTCTTTCAGTGGAACTTTTTGGGTTTTCTATGTAAAAGATCATGTTGTCTGTGATTAGGGATAGTTTGACTTCTACCATTGCTACCATTGTATACCTTTTTATATCTTTCTCTTGCCTGGTGGCTCTGGCCAATGTTTCAAGTACTATATTGAGTAGTAGTGATAATAGTGGACATCCTTTTCTTGTCCTGATTTTAGGGGAAAAGTGTTCAGTTTTTACCCATTTAATATGATGTTGGCAGTAATTTTGTCATAAATGGCTTTTATCTGATTGAAATAAAGTCCTTCTATATCTAATTTCTTAGAGTTTTTTTTTTGTCATGAATGAATGTTGGATTTTGTCAAAGGGTTTTTCTGCATTTATTGAGATGATCATGTGATTTTTGTCCTTCTGTTTATGTGTTGTATTATATTGATTTGTATATATTGAACCATCCTTGCATTACTGGGATAAAGCTTACTTGGTCATGAGGTATGATCTTTTTAATGATTTGTTACATTCTGCTTGTCAGTATCTTGTTAAGGATTTTAGCATTTACGTTCATTAAAGAGACTAGCCTGTAGTTTTCTTTTTCAGTTGAGTCCTGTTGGTTTCAGAATCAAGGTAATATTAGCTTTCAGGACTGAGTTTGGTGATATTCCTTGCCTTTCAATTTCATTAGTTTGAGGAGTATTGGGGATAGATTTTTGCTGCATTTCTTGTAGAATTGAGTGGTGGATCCATCAGGTACTTGGCTTTTCTTACTTGGTAGGGTTTTTATTACTGCCTCAACTACTCGGTATTGGATTATTTAGCATTTTTATATTTTTTTTGGTTCTGTTTTAGTAATTCATATGTTTCAAGATATCTATCCATTTCTTCTGTATTCTCCAATTTTTTGGAGTACATAGGTTTTTGTAGCAGATAATCTGGATTTTGGCATTATTTGCTGTGATTTCACCATTTTTATTTCTAATGCATTGACTGTGGGTCTTTGCCTGCCCCCCCCCCTTTGGTAAAGTTAGCTAAGGGTTTATCTATTTTTTTCATTACTTTGAAGATCCAGGTCTTTGATTCATTGATTTTTATTGAGATAACATAAGACCCAGAGTGAGTGGCTCTTGCCTTTTCTGGAATAATCTAATTTGGGTTTAAGAGAAAGAAATCTTTGGGAGGAGTTCTAGTTTTTTCTTCTATTGATAAATGCTTGTGTGGTTAATATTTTTAAATATTCTTAAACACTTTAAAATTACTAATTATATCTACTGTTTTAAAAATTCTTTTTTATTTGTGGTTTGATCTTTCTTTTTCTTGTGATTTGCTTGGGGATTTCTCTAATCTGCCTATTAATTTATAAGGATTATGGTTTCTGTTTTCAGATTTTTATTAGAATAAGATTTGAGATGGATTAGTACTGAGCTTTTTGTGAGGATAGTGAGGAAAAAATTATTTTCCTGGTTTACCATAGGTAAATGTGGGCTGGAACAGAACAATGGCTTAATTATATGCCATCTGCATCCATCTATCTATCTTAGTATCTATCTCTAATGTACATACATATTCCTCTGTGTGTATGTTTTATATATCATAAATATTATCTTGGCTCTTCAGATATCTTGATATCTGGAAAGATTCTAATTAGAAACAAGTTTCTTAATATGATTTGAGTTTTTACCTAACCAACAATAATTTTTTATAATTAGTTCATTTGACTGAGATGGTAGTTAATATTTTACAGGTAATATTCCTGTATATATGTATTATACTTACAGATTTCTCATTTTTAATTATTTCCTGTTGATATATGTCACCCTTGCAAATAATAGTATATTAAGGAGATATTGAGTATTGGGAAAATAAGATCAGGAAAATAAGAAAAACATTATTTCATTGGGACATACTCTGGTTTCTCTTCAGATCACATAAATCTTTTGTTTTATTTCATTGGGAGATTTTACATAGCTTCTGAAAGGAAATGCATTTTGTATAATAGTAATGAAGGACTGAGTTTCATAAAAATTCTAGATATTTAGGCGTACTTTGAGGTTAATGATGGCAAGAATTCATGAAATAAAATCAGCTGGTCTGGATGTGGACTGTGTTGAAATAAGGTAGTTCCTGGTCAGATAAAGCAGAATGATATATAGTTCTAACATGAACATGTACCTGCCCTGGACAGGGACTACAAGCCAATCAGATGGAAAGAGTATCATGTCGTACACTGCTGTGGGGTAGAGCTAAACACACTTTAGTAATCTTTTAAATGATATAACCCAAGTTCACAGTTAACTCCTGGTTCTCTGTTTCTACAATACAGTCAATATATCAGCATAGACAACTGTCTCCCTGGCATATTACTTCATGTATTACTCTACACAGAATGATCCTGGAAGACTTCTAGAGTTGCCATTAGAGCCAGCAGTTCTAAAGTCAAACCAAATGTCCAATTTAAGCTGCTACATGAGATAAGCTGGTGATAAACTGTTAGGAGTATTAGTGCGATGTGAGGAGTGTTTCTTTATTGGTAGTGAAGTTGTCTGGATTGAACATAAGCACAAGTATCTGAGGATGCCTACATCTAGCTGACTGGCTATCTGATAGGATCAATGGCATCTTCAAACCTGGCTCAGCTGATGCCTTCCTCAATGGTCCCATAATGTCACTATCATGTACCTTCCTTTTTTTTTTTTTTTACATCACAGGGTATTTCTTTATTGGCTGAATATAACTTTCACAATTTCCTATTCATGAAACAAGTGTTGTGTCACTTATTGAATAGTTTCACAAAGAGCATTATTGGCTATTTTCTGAAAAAAAAATCAGAGAAGCCGGGCGTGGTGGCACATGCTTGTGATCCCAGCACGCAGGAGGCAGAGGCAGGAGGATCTCTGTGAGTTTGAGGCCAGCCTGGGGTACATAGTGAGTTCACTGCCAGCCTAAACTACAAAGCGAGACCCTGTCTCAAAAAAAAAAAAAAAATCAGGGAGGAAACAAGTGAATAAATGAAAACAAAAAAAAAAAGCAACTGTGATGTTTGTGGCAATGACTGGAAGTGCTGGGATGCTCTGATGATAGATAAGGAGACTCATGTTGTGCTTTATTTTTAATTAGATTGGCACAGCAGAGCTAACTTATTTTCGTTGCTATTTTGCTGCAGATTAAGAGCTAAAACAACTTACCCTACTTCAGGAAAGAGAGGTAAACAACTATGTGCTCTTGAAATTCTTTGTGTATTCTGTGGTCAGTGATGTCAGCACTTCAAAGTCTGTGAACTCATTATTAGTGAAGCTCAAAGGAGATTATTTTTATGACAGATACATTTTTTCCCACAAGTGCCCTTGCTTGTTTAAGGAAACTTCATTTTTCCTTTTCCTTTTTTAGAACAATCCAAGTCACATGTTTTTATACTACACGTGTGACAGTTTCATTAATCAGATAATAAGCAAAATGTCTCCTGCACATTTACTGCTCTTCAGTCACAGTGCAGTAGAGCAGGCTGCACAAAATAAGCCTGGCTTGGGAGGCCCCTCTTTGTCGGGAGGGTGCTTGTGTGGATCGATGAAGAGAACAATTCCCTGAGGACGCTGAGGGACTGATTTTAGATGTCAATCTGAGGTCCAGATGAGTGGCCCCCTGACAGGACAAATAAGGGTCTCCATGCCAGCCTTTAGTTGGTGACCATTCAGTGACACCATGAAGACCTTTAAGACCCCTGGATGGGCCTTTTCTTTCTCTCATCACAAGCAATAGCATATCTTATGAGACAATATATACCTTTAATATGCTCAGTATTTCAAGGCTTTCTTCCCCTTCCCCTTTGAACAGAGAGTTATAGATACTTGTACATGGGAAATAATGTTTTGGATAACAAGTGAGGAAACTGAAAAGGTTAAATTTAAAAAGGGGCAAATAACTGTGATATGTACCGAAAGTCCCATTAGCATTGCTAAAAGAAGGGAACCCTGTCTGCCTATATTAAATGACGATGAAACCTATTTTAGTGCTTTGTTTTGCTTACTGTTGAGCACTTTGTAAGGGTTTGTCTTTGCTTTTCTGTCATGTTTCGCTGAGACAGAAGGGTCAGAATCTGATGCTCCACTTCAGAGATAGGGGTAAGTAACTAACCCAGTATCCTTTCAAATTTATATGTTGTGTACCGTGCGCTAGGTTCTGAGGTCTCCGTTTATCTTTTCAGAGTTATTTGAAAATACTGTTACGATGTGTCCTTTGCCTCTTTCAGCCTTTCACCAAGGTCACAGAAATTATTTAATCTCTATCATTGTTTCTTCCATTTTAACTTTTTCCTGATTTTATGGCAAATGCAGAATTTAAAAGAATCATTTGAACAATTTCACGTTGGATAAAACCTGTTATGATGATGTCTGGTTGTGCCAAAACTTGATCAAGCTTTCCTCATTTGTTTAATTACTGCAGTTTCAGAACAGAGAAACCATAAGGTCTTTGTGGTCGCACTGTATTTCTGCTTCAAGTTCAATCATTAAATATTGATTTGAATTAGTTTCTCATTTTTGCAACATGGGCAATTATATATGAAATTTTGATCTCAGCATAGGTGAGACAGTCATAGAAATAAGACATTTGGATGGTTTCTGGAGTGCTTTAATATATCTTAGTCTCTATTTTGATTACTTGCTGTGTTTGGATGGTGCAGATTTATTGAGCTGTACAATTATAGTGCATATACTTTTTCAGTATTTTATACTTCAATAGAAATTTTAAAATGTCATGAAGAGAATCCAAATATTGGTTAAGATACTTTTTAACAATATTGTCCATTAGATTATGTGTTATTTGCTGCAAAATGATCAATGTCCTCATAATAGTCCAACTGTGTTGTCTAACATAAGCATATTTACAAAACTGTACTATGAAGTATTTTTTAATTTCATCACATGCGTATGTTTTTCCATGCTTATGCCTAAATTCTTTTACTTATACCTTTTTTCTGCTATCAGAATCAGTGTGATTGTTTTCTTACTACATGCAAAGATGTTACTCATAGGTCTTAGGAACAATAAAAACCTACACGCATTGCACAGTGGAAAAATTCAGGAAATTTTATTGAAATGAATTAAAACATAAAGCCACAGTCAGAATAATAAACTGCTTGGATTTGCAAGTCCTTCTTACCTTTTGAGATCCTGATACTGACTACACTCTGTGTTTCAATTTTTAATTCTACTTCTTCAAGTTTCTCTACTTTAGTGTAAGATCAGAAAGTTGTAGCTGTCAATTACTGTCACTGCTTCACTCAAGAAATTCTAATGATAGAGACTATAAGATGATTTACAACAGATGTGTTTTTGATATTTCTTCCATGCTTTCCAGAGGTAAAATATTTAGTTATTTGCCCTACCTTAGGAAATACATTTTTTATATTGGTGGAAGTACCTGTCAATTTGTGTATCTAAAATTTTCTAACATAAAAATCCATTTCATCATAAAGGAGGTATTAAATATATATGACATTTTGGTAGCAATAATATTGTAGAATCTCCTGAAGTTATACATGTCCTAGGTCTCTATGTCCAAAACAATAGATAAATCAAGGACCCTGGTGGATGTGAAGGACACCATATTTAATTTAGCCATTCCTTATTTCCAGAACAATGGTTGTTAAACATTTTTTACTATTGCAAATAGCATACGTTTGTCATTACAAACCAGTATTTATGCATTCATGCTTCTGTTGCTGTGGGAAATTATTTCTAGAAACAGTAATGCTTAAAAGTAAGGTGCATGAAATTTGTTTTAGTGAGATGTAGTCAAATCACCACTCAAATATTCAGGTCACTATTGTTTCAGTAATGTACTGGAATGTTGAGATAGATTTATATTTTATGTATTTAAGGCACCAAAAAATGTTACTATTTAATATATTTTTGTGGGGGTTTTGTTTTTGTTTTTTTGAGACAGAATCTCACTTTGTAGTTTAGATTGGCCTTGAACTTGCTATATAGCCCAGGGTGGCCTTGAACCTGAATCCATCCTCCTGCCTCAACCTCCCAAGTAGAAAATATCTTCTTAAGTGATATATTTAACACTACTAAAATAAATTGTAGTTAATATAATTAAAACTGGTAGTGCTTTAAAAAATATATGCCCTTAGAGTAGTATTTACCACTAACAGTCATACCCATTAATTCCAGCAGCTTTACTACTCCTAAGTGCAAAGCAAAATTGAATACTAAGATTCAGAAGTTCTGAAAGAGCACTGTCTGGGTAGGCTAAACTTATACCTTCAATAATAATAATATTTATAAAGCACAATTCATAAATCAGTAATTTAATTTTTGTGATAGTCAATGAAAAGAGGACAGGGACAGAAAATTTGAGTGTAATGATAAAGTAGTGTTAACATGAAGTTAGTCAAGGTAGCCTTCATAGTATGAACTTGGAAAAAATTAGCAGGACAGTTCTCTGAAATATCTTTCAAATTTTAATATTTTAATATATATATTTAAAATTCTAGTGTTATATTTTCTTTCCACATTATTTGAACAGATTAATATTTAGTGTATGGGAGATATTTCCCCTTCTTTATCCTTAGTGCCAATAATACATGCTTGAGAATGAACAAATAAGAAAATAAGTGTAAAGCCACAAATGAAGGTCTCAGGTTGAAATAGCCATATATAGGTCACAGGATTTAAATGTAGCACAGTGTTTGCTTAGCTTTACAGAAGTGTGCTGAGTGGTATACACAACATGGGCATTATCATCATGTCATTAAAAGTTCCAATAGGTGCTGAACCTCATACTTTATATCAACAACCCTATAAACGTTTTATGGTTTATTCAGATGAGACCTGAGGGGTGTGTATGTGCGTGTGTGTGTGTGTTCTTGACACAGAGCAGCAAGAACGTCGGGTGGCCAGTGTGCTTTGATATGGTCACAGCCGTGCAGAAACCACGGCACCCAGCTTTGAGATAAGGACACAGATCAAGTTCAGAAAACATGGAGGTCCAAGCCTCTGTACGCAGTATCTCACTGTAATCTTATGTCACTCACCTCTGTGTATGCAGTTTGTGTGAAGACAACCCAAGATCATTTTGGGGCAAGCCTGTATGAGTAGTAAAATTGTTATTTATTTACTTACCATAAAATGATAATCAGATTAAGAGACTGTGGCACAGTGGTCGTGGTGGAATACGGATTGCAAGGTAAGTATATTATAATGATGTTTTTGGTTTGGCTAAGCATATGGCAGGAAATCCTTGCTATGGCTCCTCTATTCAGAAGGCTTAGCTAACTTTTTGTGAAAAATGAGCTGTTTGGCATACCTGACCCAGAAAACACCTCAGTAGCTCTGGGTAGCCCAACATTCTTAATGCCTCATCCCCACTGTAGCTGGCTCAAGTGCACTCTTAAGACAGGTGACTGAGAACTTTTGCAGACAGTTTGTGAGCACACACAGACAGCTGAACTACTCTGTAGGACTTGGAGAAGATACACAAACTTGAGAATTTTAGGAAAACAAATAGGAATCTCTCAGCACATAGTCTGGCTCCCAGGGATCGAGAAAAGGCACACCATCTTAAAAGTTCACCCCCTCAGGGGAAGAAAAGGATGGAAGGGGTTCATTATGAGAAAGGATCAAAGAGAGTCTCAGAATCCAGTCTCTAGCCTGCCTGACTGGGGAAGGTGTTCTTCCCCAAAGTCAGTCAGTAAAGTCTCAGGGGGTGTTTTCTTCAAGGGAAGAGAACCGTGCTAGAATTCAAAGAACATGAAAGATCAAGACTGGAAATGTACCATCCAAGTGATACAATATTTTTCCAATAACTAACCTCAAAGAAATAGAGATGTGTAATTTTCTTGAAAAAAAGAGTTCAAAGTAATTGTTTTAAGAAAACTCATAAGCTATAAGGAGTATAGATAGATGGCACAATGTAACAAGAAAACAATATATGAACAGAATTTGAAATTTTTCAAAGAAATATAGTTTTTTAAAAACCAGAAATTCAGGAGCTGAATGATATCATGAAATATGCAATAGAGGGCAAAAGCACACTAGAGCAAGCAGAAGTTAGACTATGGAAGTAAAAATAGATCATTTGAAGTTATCCATCAGAGGAGAAAAAGAAAAAATGAAAGCCTATAGGATCTACGAAAAGCCATCAAGAGAACTAATACAAGGCTTATGAGAATTCCTGAAAGAGAATAAAGAAGAAAACAAAAAGGTTAAAGTCATCATGGCTGAAAACTTCCCAAATCTAGGAAGAGACGTGGACATCGAGGTACACGGAGATCCTCAAACAACTTATTAGATCCCCAAATAACTTCACTAAGACACAGCATAACAAAGCTATCAAAAATTAAAACCACCTATCACCAGTAAATAAAGTTATCTTTCAACCACCAGTCTCTAAGAGGGACTTTTTTTTTTTTTTTTGGTACCGGGGATTGAACTCGGGTCTTTACGCTTGCAAGGCAGGCGGCAGAACCACTGAGCTAAATCCCCGGCCTGAAAAGGAGCTGCTTTACCTGCAGGTCATATTCACTGAGCATTCTTGAAAACTTCAGAGCGTTCAGAGAGAGACTTCTGAAAACAGCACCTATGAGGAAAGTCTTATACAGCTATTAACCACATCAGTCTCTCTCATCAGAAACTTCCAGACTAGGAGAGAGCGGAATGATACATCTGAACGTGTTGGAAGAAAAAAACCCTGCCAACCAGGAACGCTTTACCTAAAAATAGTCCTTCAAAACTGAAGGAGATGATGTTTTCTCCAGTGCCTGGACAGGAGTGCTGAGAGTGGACAACCTTGTTTCATTCCTGACTTTAGAGGCAGTGCTTTCTGTTTTTCCCATTTGATGTATTGTCTGTGGGTTTCTATATATATACAGACTTCATTATTTTGAGGTAAAACTCTTCTGTAACCTGTTTCTTCAGGACTGTTATCATGAAGGAATGTTGAATTTTCTTAAACGATTTTGATGCATCAATTGAGGTGGTCATTTTTTTCTTGATTCTGTTTATATTGTGTATTACATTTCTTGATTTGCATATGTTGGACCAATCTTTTATTCCTGGAATGAAACCAATTTCATGGTAACACATGATCTTTTCAATGAGCTTAATGAATCCTATTTGTAAGATTTTATTGAAAATTTTTCCATCTGTGTTCATCTAGGATATTGACCTATAGTTTTATCTTGAATTTTTATCTGTTTTTGGTATCAGGGTAATACTTGTTTCCTTCTCTGTTCCCTGGAATGATTTGAGGAGAATTGGTGTTAGTCTTCTTTAAATGTCTGCCAAATTACAGCAGCAAATCACCCAGTCCTGGCCTCTTCTTATTGGGAGACTTTACTGCTGCTTCAATCTCACTGCTTGTTATTGATCTGTTGAAGTTTTCTGTTGAAACTCTATTCCATTTTGGAAGCTTATATGTATAAATAAATGTCTCTACTTCTAGATTTTCCAATTTATAGAATATAAATTTTCAAGATAATTCCTAACCATCCTCTGGATTTCTGTGGTATCTATTTTAGTATCACTTTTCCTTCTTTAATTTTATTAATTTGTGTCCTCTTTTAATTATTTTGACTAAGGATTTACTGTTAATCATGTCATTTGTAAACGAAGACAGGTTCAGTCCTTCCTTCCTAATGCCTACATCTTTCATTTTGTCCCTGTTTTTACTGCTTTATATAGGGCTTCTAGTACAGTATCATTATAAAGTACTTATCATTATAAAGTTAGCAGTAGAGTACTTGCAGATGTTATATATCACCTTGGGTAATTTCCCAACAATTCCTAGTTTTTGTCATGAATGTATGTGGAATTTTATCAAATGCTTTTCTTGTATCTATTTTCTTCTTCAGCCTCTTCATGTGATAGATCACACTGACTTTCAAATGTTGAGCTAGCCTTACACACTTGGGTAAAATCCTATTTGGTCATGGTGCATAATTCTTTTTGTACATTGCTTGATGTAATCTGCTATTATGTTATTGAGCATTTTTGGATTTATGTTTTTGAGAGATGTTGGTCTAAGTTTTCTTTCTAGTAATGTCTAACTTTGATATTATAGTAATTCAGCCTCAATGAATGAGCTAAGGAGTCTTTTCTTTGTTCTATATTCTGAAAGACATATAGAGAACTGGTGTAATATTTTCCTTACATGTTTGGTAGAATTTATTAGTGAACCTGCCTGGTGCCTCCTGTATTGGAATGTTAATTCATTATTGTTTCAATTTCTTTAATAGATACAGGTTTATTTAGATATCTATTTCTTCTTGTGTGAATTATGGCAGATTGGGTCTTTAAAGGAATTGGTCAGTTTTATCTAGGGAAATAGGTATGTCCTTAATATTTTTATGATGTTCTTAATTCCATGGGATCTGTAGTGATGATGTCCTCTCTTATTTCTGGAACAGTGATATTTATATGGTTACCTTTTTAAAGTTAGCTTGGCTACACCTTTAGTGACTTTATTGATCTTTTCTAACAAATAGCTTTTGGTTTTGTTGATCTTTATTCCACTGATCTCCTATTTTCAGTTTCATTGATTTCTGCTCTACTATTTATTAGTAGTTTTTACTCATTTTTTACTCCCAATTACTCTGGATTTAATAATATAGATGATTATATTGTTGACTTTTGATCTTTCTTTTTCATAAATGTGTGAATACCCTCAATTTCTCTGTAAGCATTTATTGTCATTGCACCCTACAAGGTTTGTTAAGTCATATTTTCATTTAATTTGAAATAGTTAAAAATTTTAATTTTATGGGATTTTGTCTTTAATTAATGCGTTATTTAGAACTGTTTTGGCTGTGAGTGTAGCTCAGTGGTAGGGCATGTGCCTACTGCCTGTGAGGCCCTGATTTGACACCGAGCACTGCAAAACAAAAACAATAGCAAAACATTATGTTTAAAGTCTCCAAGTGCCTGGGAACTTTTCAGCTATCTTTGTTATTGGTTTCTAGTTCAAATACACTGGGGTCTTATAATAAGCATTAGATGATTTGTATTTTTAAAAAATTTGTTAAGGTGTATTTTGTAGACCAAAATGCAGCCAATTTTGGTGCTGTTAGTTGAGTGTATTCTCCAAGAGTCGATGTGTTGGAAGCTTGATCCTTAAGTATAGCAATGTTGGGAGGTGACAGAAACTGTAAGAGGTGGGTCCTAAATGGGAGGGTGCTGGATCACTGGAGGTGCTGTTCTTGTAAAGGATTAACATTTCTTATAGGGCTTCAATGAATTCTTGTGCTCTGTGGCTTCCTGGCTCTCCATAAGATCCCCCCAATGACATGATGCCACCTACCATGAGAGCCTCACCAGAGGCCAAATTCATGAGACTGCCCAATCTCATACATTCATCCTCCCCTCAAAATTTGTTTTGATTTTTTGAGACAGGATCTTTCTCAGTAGTTCAGGCCATCCTTGAACTCACTATGTAGTCCAGGCTGGCCTTGAACTTGAAGTGGTTCTCCTGCCTCAGCCTCCCAAGAGCTGGGATTACAGGTGTGCACAACACTTGGCCATCCTTTCAAATATTGAGCTAAATATATATGTTTTATTGTCCCATGTGATCTTGAAAAGAATGTATTACATACTTTATAGTTGTCCATGATATCCAGTTTATTGGTAGTGCTGGTAAGTTTGGTCATGTTATAATTGGCTTTCTGTTTGCGAGTTCTGATGGCTCGATTTCTGGAGAGATGTTAACATTTCCAGTTACAACAATAGATTCATCTCTTGCTCCTTGTAATAAATCAGTTTCTACTATACATATTTTGATGTTTTCTTATTTGGTGTGTAAATATTAAATATTTTGATGTTTACTTGAAGTACTGACTCATTTGTCATTATGTTTCTCAATAATCAATAAATTACTCTTCAAGGTTTGTTCTGTACGGTATTAATATAGTTACCCCACGTTCTTTTGACTCGTGTTAGCATGATATATCTTTGTCCATCCTAGTTTTTTGTTCCTATTTTTCTCTTCCACACTTTTCTCATCTTTGTTTCGATTAAGCTGTTTATATGATTCCATTTTCTCTCCCTTCTTGATGGCAAAGTCAGGGGTACTGAAAAAAAGTGCTATATAGTTCTATTACTGGCTCACAGGTTTTTGGTGAGGGTGTGCTCTGCACTATAAATTGCACCAGTGTTTGTCATTATACTTCCTCTGAGGCGAGCAAGAGTCAGCTGGTGTTAGTTCTTCCCCTTTCCACAAGGAGGTTAGGCTCTGGTTAAATGGCTCCTGCTAACGGCAGGTCTCGTGAGGAACAGAAGGCTCTAGCATATTTCAAAGTGGTTTCTTTTCCCAAAATTAAAAAAAAAAATCAATTCCACTCTATCCCCTCCTCTCAACATTTTTGAGAATATTTTCAGTCCTTTCTTCAGACTTTGTTCCTATTGGATAAATCTTTTTAATCTGTTTTCACATTCATTGTTATCATTTGTCATTTCCACTCTATTTGAGCTCATCTATCAAGATTCTTAAAAATGTTTTTTCTATAGTATGTTTGGTTCTTTGTGTAACTTCCATTGCCTTGATAAAATTTTCCATTCTTTGTTTCAAGAGAATGCATGTTGCTTTTTTGTAACAATTTTATGCAGACTTCTTTAAAATCTTTTGTCATGTAGTTCCAACATCAGATTAATGTGGATTGTTGGTGCTTATAAACTGTCTTTTATTATTCAAGTTGTGATTTTGTTGGTTCTTGCTATGGTGAATGATTTTCCATTCTATCTTGGACAATTTAGACATTATGTGACTCTGGATGCAATATAACCTCAGACATTCTCCCTACGTAGATGTAGATCAAGGTCCCTCCCAATGACTATGTGAATTTAGCTGTGACTATTCCACCTTCCACATCACTCTAGCAAAAATGGAGCCTGACTCAATTCCTTGTTGTTTGGATTGGGTAGAAGTCAGCTTTCCCCTTAATTTCACCAAGACCTTCCCAGCAAAAGCAAGGCACCAATTCATACCACTTTGTTGCTTCAAAGCGAGGATGTAATTTCAGTCTCACTTGCATTACAGGGTAAAATCCTAGCTGCACCCCACAACACCTTATTTTAAGTTATGTCAGGAAAGATTAGAAGCTCAGATCCCTACTAGACCCTTCGACACCAGGGTTTCAGGTGATGTAGAGCCTTTTAGCACTTTCAATAGTACAAACAGCCTGCTGCAGCATGTGTGCCATAGGTTTGCCACCACTGAAGCAGGGTAAAGTGAAGAGGAATGGTAACTAAGCCTTTGTCGTTAGTTCTCACTGCTTCAAGGTGGGGTGGAGGCTCAGCTTTCCCCTAACCCACTGACACTGCCCTGGTGGGAAACCAGAATCCCTTTACCACTTGTTACTACTGCAGGGGTGGAATTTCAGGTCCCTGCACAGTTGTCGACACGATTCTGGCAAGATAAATGATGCACTCTGCCTGCTTTCATCACTTGGGAGATGAAAGATCAGTCTAGCACCACCACCCTGTGGGGAATGAGTGTCAGCAATGATCCATTTCTAAGGCCTAAAAGTATCCAACAGGACAGTGCTTTATTCCTTCAGAAAACCTATTTTCCTAAGAACAGGGGCACAGTTTGAGACACTGTAAGAAGCATTCAATACAAAAATCATGATTCTATATAATTGTGACAAGAAGGAAATACGTCAAGGTTAGTGCTGATATAACTGGGAAAACAACTGGGGTGGGGTGACTGAGAGAGGGTCTTGCTCTGTAGCCCAGGCTGGCCTTGAACTCATGGCAATCCTCCTGCCTCAGCCTCCTGAGTGCTGGGATTACAAGCATGCACTACTATGCCTGGCATAAATAGTTTTGATAGAAAAAATATTTCTAGAGTATTGAAAAAGCATTCTTAGAATGGCAGTAATTTAACAAAATGTCCATTCTGGCTCCTTTCTTCTCTATGATGATGTATAATTTATCTAAAGTTGTGTAAGTGTCCTTTCCTTCTTTCTGATTCCTTGAGCCTGAACTCAGACCTAGAACTCAAACCTAGATCTGGACAGTGGATCTATATTTAGACCTCAGCCTGTACCTACACCATGTAGTTAGACCTTGGAAACTAAATCTTGGACTTGGACCTTGGACTTAGAAATCAAACATGAACTTGGTGCTGGGCCTGAACCTTTATGTTGGATATTAGATCTTGACTTTAAAATCCAGTCTTGGAATTAGATTTGTCTATGATCTCGAACTTTCCATTAGACCTAGTTTCCTTTTTCATGGATCTGAACCTTAAAAATTGACATGAACTTTGAGCCTGAATGTGCACACTAGATCCTAAACCATGAGCCTGCGCCTTCAACCTGGACCTGGACCTTTGAACTAAAATTTCAACCTCAGATCTTAATCTCAACTGAACTTCCACTTTGGAACTGGATATTGGGTCTCTGTACTGGGCCTCACACCTAGATCTGACCTGTAGTTTAGACTTGACATTATCCACGGATATTGGATCTTAAAACTAGACTTTCAGCTCAGACCTCCAATCTTAGATATGGACCGTGGGACAAAATCTCAAACATGAACCTGAATCTGATCTGTCAAAAAGAATACTGGATCATGACCTAGGATATGAATATAAATGTGTGTCTTCAACCTTGACTTGGGTTTGCCCAGAGCCTTGGACCTGCCCTTAGGCCTGGGTCTGATATCTGGTTGTAGATATTTGTCTATATAGTTCCTTGTGTGAAACTGGACCTTGGCCATGAAGATGTAATTCTGATCCTAACTCTGATACTAACCCTTAACATAATCAAAACCCCAAACCCAACACCAAAAACAAACCCAAACTGTAAACCTAATTAACTGTAACCTGTTTCTTACAAGGATATATAATTTATATTTTACAGGGATAATTTCAAATTAGTCTGAAGCCAGTGCCTCTCATTTTAACTTATTAAAAAATCATTCAGTTGTTTTGCACACACTCTCAAAATGAAGTTAATGTTATTTAAAAGAAAAACAAAACAATCTAATATTCAAATAGATTTTTAAGGAGCAAAATAGCCTATGTTATACAGGCATTTCTACATTGTACAGTATTTCAAGACAAATAAGCAGGCAAATTTGGAAAGGAAAAAGTAAAAAATATTTTATTCACAGATGACTTAATTGCCTATGTAGAAAAATACTGCCCAAAGAAAAAAATACAAACAAAACAAAAATCCAAGCTCTTCTATCAATGATAAAGGCAATGATTCTTTTTTAAAAATCACAATCAGGAAAACTGACATCCTACAAATATATGTTGTCAATATATCTCTACTGTCTACTTATTAAGATGAATCCACGTATGCTGAATTAGGCTCGCTCCTTAAAAACTCACATGCAGCCGAAGTCCAGAGGATTGTTTCCTGTCATGTTTCTCATTATAGACCAATGACATCACTATAGATCGCAGTCAACATGACACCTCTATGAAGGATCAAACGCAAAAATCTCTGGTGGTATAGTTTCAAGTAAGGGTAAACTTAGGATACTAGTGGAATGACTGTATCATGCGTCCCCTAGGAAATCTTTATCATTTCCCCTAATTAAGAAAATCATAGAGTAGATAATGTGAAATTAGTTGTACTATTGACAAAAATAATCTGTTCTTCATTGCTAATGAAGGGTAATGTTGTATACTTCCCTATTCACTTGCCAGTAGGGAGAATAGAGCAGATAGTTTTGCTTATGAAAATTAAATGGTTTATTGGATGGCTACACGACACAGAATTATATTTTTCATTTTCCACTATATTTAGATTTATTTTTCCCTCCACTACTCTGAGTTAATGAGACTAATCAGACAGCATCTACTATTTAAATAGCACCCGTGAGTTCATATGTGTTCCCTCTACAGTGACACTGCCTCAGTCCTTAGCTTCATCATCTCACTGAAATGGTTACTGAGCGCTGTCACTGTGCTTCCTGTACCTGGTATATTAGCATTTTCCCTTAGCCCACTGCCTCCTCTCTGGGGATTAGCACACAGGCTATTGTAAGATCACACAGGGGCTCTGGAATCACACTCAGAACACCGTGTTTATGCATCTACACAAGAAGATCTTAGAATTTCAAGACCTTTTGCCCCATCACCTCCCTGATTCCATGGCAGGGCCCTGCTGCAGTCCCACGCATTCTTGCTATAGTTACGTGTGACCCTCTGTGATTCTTCACTGCTTCCAAATCTGTCTCCTGCAGAGTAAGATGTGAGGGCTCTCGTGTTCTGCCTTTGCCTTTCTATTCCATATGCCATATTCTTCTCACTTGCCTTTTGAAATCATTTTTGTGGGCATCTGTGACTTTTTGCTAACTCCTCCCACTTTCTCAGAGTCAGGGCCAATATTGCATAACATAAGCATCCACTACTTGAGGGAAATTTGAACACTTTTTATGTTTTCAGTGCTTCACATAATTTTACCTGCTGGTTACTTCACAACCTTCAAGTGTAATTGTAAACTGGCATATTTGCCCTCAATTTTAAGCTCCTTGAAGGCAAATACAGTGCCCTGATCTATGTTACCAGAATGTAGTAAAATGTAGCTATAGTAAGAGCTCAGTGAGTATTTGCTAAAAGTTTGTTATGAATACTATGGATTTATGGACAAAATGAGGCCCTCAAAATTTAACTTCATAAAAGCCATGCTAATCTCAAGCATTCAGCTAAAATTAAACCTTAAGTACTATTCTTACCTGACTGTCCATAAACACATGTTGATCACACATCATCTTGTACCATAAATGTGCATCAGAACCATGTTTTTGTTTTTAGTCATCTGTTGATGGACACAGATTGATTCTGTATCTTGGCTATGCTTAATAGTGCTTAAGT